TTTTGTGTACAAATTAGCGACTTTAAGCAAGCGGTTTATTGTTTTTTTCACATTTCGTAGGGGCAAATGCACCTACTAATATGCTGAAAGTTTATTACTTCCAACATAGCTTACGTTCTCATTTAGGTGAAGTTTGTATTTCGTTTAAATTACGTTGTTGAAGATAATGCGCTCTCTCTTATTCTTATTGCTTTTTTATATATAAACACAATAGTTTTATTTCATTTATTTATTTTTTAAATACATTAATTGTGGTTGATTTAATAATATTAAATAATTAGGCCATGTGCGAGTTCGAGTAAATTGACGGTAAATTGAGGAAAATAGTAAATTATGTGGGTATGGGAGAGGATGTTCGTATTTATTAGAATTTCGAGTAGGGTCAATTAGATAAAAGTTAGGTATATTACATGTTACCATTGTGAAATTTTTTAAGATGTTTAATAAATAAATAAATAAATTTGAAAACTTTTAATCAAAAGTAATAAATAAGTGCAAAAAATAAATAAATAAATACTTAAGTGCAGTGCAAAAAATCCCTAGGAAATTTTAACTTACTTTACCTCATTTTACTTGAACTCGCACACGGGCTTAATGTTTATATTGTAATAGCACAAAAATGTTTTTGTTACTATCTATAATTTTATAACGCAAGATTTTTTGTATTATATATACTAATTTATAAAAAGGACCATGTGAACAGTTGGACAAAACTTAACCATTTTACAAATAATAAATAATTTTTTACACAATTTTTTTTTGTCTAATTTCTGAGATTAAATCGGTTGTAGTGTGTCTTTAAAAATAACTCGGACACATATGTATACTGAACATTTTTATATATGAATTAATTACTACAATTAAAGATAATTAATTATAGTTGTCATATATGTATTTCTAAAGTTATATTTAAATACAATACAAACCTTCTTTATTGTGGATGTGACAAAGTCGAAAGTGTTTATTACACATTTATTAAAAATTCTTTTGCTTTAATATCAACTTAACATCAAAAACCAATAAAACTTTATAATGCCTAATAAATACTTTTGTGCTCATGAATTAAACATTGAATATGTTCCAGTAAACACTATGGGATCAATGTTGCAGTAAAAAAGTAAACAATAATCTTCTTCGCAAACATTTAACGTATTGAATTAATTCGTTCCGCATCCAAAATCATAAAACCATAACTACCATAAGAACGACGAAAGAAGAGCACGATATTTCTTGCTGGTGACGACGGTAGCACACATTCTTAGTAGTTTTTCAAGACATGGCTCTTGCCACAGGTAAAAAGCCACAGCGAGTGGGGTAGGCTGTAGGTAAAGGCTGCTAGCAAAAACCGGCACAATCACGACCTCACAGGTACAGCTGGTTTGATTTTTAAAATTTTTTAATGTGTTTACATTTTGTACTGACGTCACACATTCATCAGGAAAGACTAAAAAATAAAACAAACAAACGCAACTCCTCACACAATTTCGTTGGCACCTTAGCACCTATGGCACCTTGGCACCTTTTAGCTGAACATCCTAAGACATGCACGCAAACGCAAATGTTCGTGCACTTTTCCATCAGCACCTTCTGATTTACACCTTTATTAACCCGAGACACCGTCAATACACATTACTAGAGAGAATTAAATAAAGTAATCAAATGAAAAAATAAAATTCCTAAACCTCATTTGTTAATTACTACATACACATTCATACATATATAAGTATATTATACATCCATTGAAGATGTGTTTAAATTCAAAAGAAAGCAAGTCAACAATTTAGCTTTGACTTTGCCGAAGCTTAAATACCTTTCGCACAGCCTAAAAGTAAGTTCATATGTTTGCTTTAAGATAAATCTGACTGATAAAATTTTGTCAGTGACATTCGCTTTGATTTTAATACTCAGAAGTCAATTTAGTGATATAATAATAATATTGATTGATTTGATTGCAAACGTGTATAGGCAGGGCCACCCATTTACAGGACAAAAAGGGTACCAGTATAGGGCGCAAGCTTTATAGAAGACATCAATTTATATTGGTGTTATGCATCTCATTCACTTATCTAAAGTAAAAGCGGGTATTAAAAAGGGTTCTTCTAACTTGTGAGATATATGTGTTTGTTTTTTATTCAATAGTGCAAAATAATGGATATAGATCCGCTAAATCTACTGTGCCTCTACAAGAGTGCATCGATTGAAAAATTAAACAGTTATTAGTCAAAAAAATTGACTGATCTACTTGTATGTATATTAATTTCTGAGCTGATCAACCTTCTTTTTAAGTACCAGTATAGGAAAAAAATAAAAAAGGTGCTGGTTCTCAAGATAGTTTCGAATGTTACTCTTTAAAACACATCATAGGTGTTCTAACATATACTATAATCCAAAATATTAAAACCCTTACACCTAATAATATCCAATCTCAATAATAAATCCTGTAAGGATTGTAACACTTACTACTACACATTTATCAATATAATTATTATAATGAACAAATACTATAATTTTGGGTTTTATTAGAGCTGTTGCATTTTTTTTTCTTTCAGAGTTGTAAAAAAACAGCAATAAGTCTGATTAAAACAAATTGGCATTACTTTTAAAATATGTTAAATGCTTTTCTTTGACAGGTGGTTTTTGTTGGGTTTTTATACGATATGAAATATAAAAATTGTAAACACTAAACAATAATTAATTTAAATAAAAAACAACAAAATAAATATTAGAAAGGCAATGGTAAGCCCTTTTAATATATCGTATATTTAAGTTAATTTATCTTTAATTTATTTATGCATTTCAATTCATTAGTAAATGATTGAAATGAATTTAGTAAATGAATTGAATGACTGAAATTTTGGGACATATTTCCAGTAAACATTTACAATAGACTGAGTTTTGAAATGACCTCACTGAAACTTAAGACGTAGAATTTCTTGTGAGTACAACCCAACTCTAAAGATTTTAAGAGCATTGTTGTACCTTCAAACGTTTTCTTTCGTACGTTGCGAGTATTTATTTGCTATGAGTTTAAATATCATAAAATTAATTTTTCTAAATTTTATAAAAAAAGTTAATAAACGAAAAAGGGATTTTCTATAAAACGATGTGTCTGCAACAACACCACAACCATTAAAATTTGCATTAAAATATTGACCATTTCATTTTAATACTTACAGTACACTTATAAAACGCAACTATGGTATAAATGTGTATGAATATTTTTGTCATACGTTACTTACATTCACTCATACTCACCACACTCATCATTCATGTGAGTAGCCGTAAGTGGGCCGATTTACACTATCATGAACGCAACATGAAAATGAACTTGAAAACCGGTTACTTATAGATGCGAAGAGATGATGAGATGATGATAGTGTACAATTGTCTAAGTAGCTTATCGTATACTCTGAATCAATGAGAATACTGAACAAAAATTTTGTAAAAGCGCTGTTGTGTTATACTCTTTGTGTTTTGGTTATGCTTTTATTTTGCGTTGTTGTTGTTAGCATTATAAACGCATGTAGAGTAAGACCACGCTTAACGCTGTTTCGGTTTAGCACTCTTTTATTTCAACCCAAACATTTAAGCAGATTTTTGAAAAAACAGATGGAGAAGAGAATCAATCAATAAGAGAAAATCTACAATATCATGAATGCTGGAATGGAATCAATGAGGTAACAGAAAGATCTTTTAAACGAGTGTGGAAGAACATTTGGTAAGATTAAAGTAAGAGCGAAGACATAGGACGCTCTATTGATATGGATCAAATAGTGGAAAAAATAGTAGAATTAGCGAAACAAACCGGTTTAAATGAAATATGTGTGGAAAATATTGATAGTAGTGATTTCGAAGAAGAACAAAAAAAAGGCGCTTGTAAAAAGGAGTTTGACCACTACAACTGAAATTATGAACCAATTTGTTCAAAATGATCCAAAATTTTGACAGAAGTTCAAAATCAAGACGGGGTGTTATAGATACTTCATCCACTTATCAACAACTTCTTACAGAACGCAAAAGGAAAACGCAAACTACATTAGATGCTTTCTCGACAAAAAAGCAGAAAATTGGAAATACAAAATAGACTGAATGATCTGACTGACTTAGGATTTATTTCTGTATATTGGTTTTATTATTATTAAAAAAAAATAAAATTATTAAATTTAATGCATAAACAATTTCTCAATCTCTCAATCTTCCCCTAACCCAATTATTTACATGTTAAAATAGCCTCGTTTAGCGCTGTTTCGCATTACGCTCTATTTTGATGGAACGTATCCTACGCATTAAGCGGGTCTTACTGTATTTTTATTGTGTTTTTGATTCTTACACATGCATTCATTTGTAATAGATTAGCGGTTGTTTTAAATGAAAACTATATTTTTAATTTTTAAATTGTAATAGTAAGAAAAACAAAATAAACAATATCAGGCAAATTCTTACCGACTGTGACGTGATACTTATGAATAACTCATAACTCACTTATTTCATACTTGTGTTGAATAAAAGTACTTGTGAGTATCATATGTATGAGTTAGGTGGAGTTGAATACACGAAAAAGAAAGCCACAGTAGATATAAGTGAAATAGAGAGAATCTGACTTGACTGTTGAGTAATCATTGTCCTTATTTTTAGCGTTTGAAATTCCATTTTACATTTTGTAGTTGCATTTTGAAACTGTGACTACAAAATCAAAAAGAAAACTTACTTGTGAAGCATAATTTGGTCGTAAAATTCTTCGGAATCTCCAGAAGGGTAGTTCTTCCGGACAGTAATTAAAATTGCCAGCATTAACCTATCCCTAACAACACGCTAACTGTTGATGGTATATTTTACCCCGTAATATCATAAGCAGAAGATTGTATATGCGTAATGTTGGGCATTTTTATTTTAAGAAAAAAAAAACATAAATTATTCATAATGTATTGTTAAATTTTTAATTTTTTAAATGTGAGATAATGGATATAATAATGATAATATCAATAATAATATCATTTTAGGTGCCAATCAAACGAGTCCATCTATTTACAACAATTCAATTAGCTTGTCTAATAATCTTGTGGCTGATAAAATCGTTTTCGCAAACATCTATACTTTTTCCTCTAATGTTGGTCGTTATGATTGGAATACGTAAATCCTTGGACTTTGTATTTACGAGACGAGAATTAAAGATACTAGATGACATTATGCCTGAAGTAACAAAACGTTCTGCAGCAGATGATTTACATCACTTGGACACTGAGGTGGGATTATGTCAGAAGTTTTTATATTGTTTTCCAGGTGTGGATGCGAAACAAAAAAATATTAAAGGTGTGAGTAATAGTGAAGACAGCCATAATAGTAGCACAAAGCAGTTAGAGGCAGAAAGCAGCCTTTTAAAAAATAAATGTAATTAAAAACAGTCCGTAATCATAAAAAAGTAAAAAAAAATAATTTTGATAAATTTTTGCATTTTAACACAAAAAAATTAATTTGTTATATTCAATGCACACAATTAGTGTGTAGTTTGGTGTTATTCAAGTAACCAAAGCTCAACTACATAAGCATATTCAGTATTATATATCATTTTGAATTAGATGCAATAAGTTCCTCGCAATCCGTTCTGACGCGCTCCGATTTGACAACGGCTTTAAGTAAACTCACCTATTCTAAGCAACTTTTTTTACTGTGTTGTAAGTTGATATAGTCTTAACAAAACACCAACGCAATCCATCTAACGCTAATGCGTATATGCAACTTATACATTAATAACGCGAACAACTGATAACAATAAGAAGATGACCATCCATACTTACAGTTGGTGGTTTCCCTGAAACATGTTCCAACTTTAAACCTCGATATATCCACTTATATAGTCTTGTACAGAACTAAGCTGTATCGGCTTGTAGCGTAGTGGGAAAAGTTGCACAGAATAAAAGAGTTTACTTAGATCCATTAATTAGGTCGCCACAGAACTAGGAATAATTTATTTCTTTATTATATACAGTTACATTTACCATGTAATATCGGTTGTCCATGTTATATACTAATGAGCACAATAGTAACTTTTTGTCGATATTAATATAATATAAATTAGTTAATTTTAGTTTAGTTTTTAATAATGAAGTTCATAATATTTTGGAATTAAGTACAATTAAAGCATAACACCTATCGAAATTATTATAATGAAGTATGGGATATATGTTACTGTGTAAATGCAATTTTTTTACTTATGTTGTGTTGTTATAAAGACTAAAATAAGAATTCATAGGAAATTGCTAAATGAAAATGAAAGATTAAAATTAATATGATTAGGCTTGCAAAACTTTGATACCAAATAACAAAATTTTTACGGATGCTTTCAATATTGCTATAGATATATCTAAATATGTTACTTACAGCCTTATTATTTTAACTATATCAGATGAGTTTAATTATTAAGAATGCATAAAAATAAGCTGTTTCATTAAAAAATCGAATAATTCTGTTCATGTCAAAAATCAATTCAGACCTATCTACATGTACGTCTCAAACTCGTTTGATATGTTTAATTTTTTTACTTTGCTTAAAAATTTATAGAAATGTTAGGGGTATCCATATACTGGCGTTCTTGTGTTTAATGTGCAAGCCTATACATTAATATATACTTTTAATATAGCCAGATATATAATTTGTTTACAAAAATATGTTCTTTCATTACACAAATGTCTTCTAACGAATGTTGAAATAAAATTGCTGGTTAGAAAATGGAACTCAACTTCATACTGGATTCACACGAGAGTTTTGTAATTTTAGCTGTCAAAAATATTCACACAACAATTGACAGTTCTTTTAATTAATAGGTCTGCTCCATGAGCTACTTGTAGTAAAACTCAAGTAAAACACAAGTAAAATACAAACTGAGAGCGTAACAGAAATAAAGTGCCAAAGTTCGCTCTTTACACAGATTTTCATTGACCAGCTTTGTGTAAAATCTGGTGAGAACAGCAGTCCCGCAGAAATAAATAAAATAAAAATTAAAATTCAAAACAAAACAGCTGATTCATACATCACGCAAATTTTACTCGAAATTAAATGTACGTGTAAAGTGACAGAGATGTTACGCTCTCTCAGATGCTCTCATTTACTCAAAAATTTGCTGGTGGAACGCACTTGTGTATACACAGTGTTACTTAAAGTTACTACGAGTAGCTCGCGGAGTAGACCTATTATAATCTAGAGTTGCAAAAGTTACAAAATTTTTCGTGTGTGTTTAAGGAAAAAACCCATAAATATAAAAAAAACATTGTAACCAAAGCAAAAATTTATTTCAAACCATTTAGGCCCCGTTTCGTCGGCAAGGTATAAGGTAATTGTGCTTGTTTCGTATAATTCTTATGCTTTTTGCTTATCAACTATAAAGTTTTTAATATTTTCAACATATTTTATTGCTTTTATTGAATTATAAATTTATGTAAACTCTAATAGTAATATATGTAAACTCTGATTGATTTTTAATTACATAAAATAAACAATAAGAAGTTTTTAATTGTAGCGAAATTTATAAGGTTATAATGAAATCTATAATGTACACAAAATTATTTTTATTTGCAGAAATTTATTGTTTACAATAATTTAATTGATATCATAGAAAAAATTTGCCATTATTCTTATAAGTGTACAACCCGAAGAACTTTGTAAAGATTTGTTCGGCTTAGCGCTAACATACACTGTCTGTCTGTGTAAAACACGAAGTGTTAACACAGTTTCAATTCAATTGTTTTTGAAACTGTGAAAAATGTGTCTACACATTCCATATTCATTTGACCCAACTGCACCAAAGCATGGATACCTTTATATTTTTTTTTTTTTTTTTTTTGCAAAACATAAAAGAAGCAGCTGATTTTTAAGTTGATTTAGTCAAAGAGAACATCAATTTTCGTTAAAACACATTAAAAGAGTTTAATATGTCAGTGTAGTCATAGTCTTAATGATAATTTTAGTGATATAATCGAGGGTATATGAAGTTTTCAATAACTTTTGTAGTGCAGAGAGGCGGACATCGGTGATCACATTAAAGTTGTATATATTCTTGATAAACCCAACTATATAAAACGGTTTCGAAACTCATGTATGATTGATTGACTGTTTGTCCGTAAACAGAGACCTTTCTGAGTACAGGCAAATTAAAATGGAACACTGGATGAAATTGGTTAAATACATAAAGTGCAAACAAAATAACTAACATATGCGAGGTGACATTTTTAAACAAATATTTGCATTAAAATTTTTAAAAATTAAAAAAACAATAGGGGTATTCAGGCAACTGATTAGTTGCTTAGTAGTTGATTACAACAAAAATTTGCACACAAAAATGAAACTAAGCAGAGAATCAACTATTTCGATGATTCTCAGATTAGTACAAATTTGATTAATAGTGCTGCCAGTACCAAGTGCCGTAATAATAACTTAAAATAAACTTTAGTATAGAAATTTGTTAGCTGTCTCTCTCAGCTGTTTGAATTGTGTGTAAACAATTTTGCAAACACAAGTATGTTTCACTTTTGCTGTTGATGCTAGTGCTGCCAAGGCATTTACACACAACAAACTAATCAGATTACGCATTTTGGGTCGTTCAAGCAACTGATTAACATCAAAATGCTAAATTTTTTTTGTATGAAGTTTTTGAATCAACTAAGCAACTAATTAGTTGCCTGTAACAACACTGTTTGTGTGAAGGGCACAAAAGCAATTATAGGCCAAAAATATTTTATTTCTTACTATATTTAAAAGTATATATATAATGTATTATTTCAAAGTAATGAAAATTTTTTAAATGAAATGTCTTAAAAACACTATTTATGATTAGCTGTCTTTTAGCAAACATTGATCTAGAAATTCTTTGCTAAAACGATCTAATTTAAAATTTAAAGTTATTGGCAGCACATCATATTTGTCAGTTCTATGGGTGCTACTTTGCCTTTTTAGTTGCGAGTCTATTTTTTTATTTGTCGTTCGCTTTATATTGTTAGCGCTTCAAATCATATAAAAAAATCGCATTGCCAACTATATTTTTTTTCAATTACATCCAACTTTTTTTTCCACATTCTTTATTAAATTCAAATGCAATATATCACCCAGATCAATTAACCGCTCCCCATGTTAGTTGATCAGATATAATTTACTAAATTTCGATATTGATAGCTGTGACTAACTACAAAATTAGTTAGTTCACCAAGTTTATGGTTAACGTTGGTGGTTTCTTTTCTTTTTTGAACCCTATTTTTCAAAGCTGCATACCAATAATTATACAATTAATTCGACTCCTAGTGATATGCATACGCGTTATCGCCCAAAATGATGTATGATATGAAGGTTAAAAAAAATTAAAAAAATCTCAAATTTAAAAGTTGAACCAGTGCTCCCTACTGGTTCACGACCCGTGCAAATAATTGGTGCAAACTTAATATCACAATTGCGTTTTTGCGGCGATGTATGCATAATAACGCAAGCAATGGAGAAAGCATGCAAAATCATCTCCAACTGATATTTCAATAAAAAGAAAATATTTAAAATTGAATGTTTATTAATTTTTTTAATTAATTTCGTCATTACACAAAGTTGAAGAATGTATTTTACACATAAACGCAAAAACGGATTTCACGCAAAAACGCAATCCATGTAACATTGGTTGAAATAAACAAATCACAAGATGGGTTCGTGAACAGAGGTGCTACAAATGGAAAAATATATTTGGTTAACTACCCAGCGATGAAAAATTTCAATATTTCCTAGATACTTCAATGTTTAAAATTTTAAAAACACCGTAATTTTTTATTATTTATGGTAGAAAAAGATCGTATTTGCGAAATGTTAAATGGTACTTCTATAATATAAGAGCGTTCGTTCATCCGTCTGTTATTTTTGTCTTTGAAGTATAGGCCTTTTCGGTGGTTCGCAGGTATGACAAAAAATGCATGCTGGCCTATAGTGACTACGCGAACCATTGGCATCACTGTTGCAATCTATCAAGTGTTATGTTTTGACAGATAGCAAAAATAGCATAATGCCAACAAATTACACTTTGTATACAAATAAATAATTAACATAGATTAAAAAATAAAATGAATACAAAATTAATAGGAAAGGGAAAAATGTTGAAAATTTCAAAATAAAACACTGAAATCTTTCTTTTTTTCCAATTTTCAAATTTACGAAATTTTTGAATTCTATTTGAATTTTTATTTACATATAATTTTTGACATATGATTGCAATATTCGTTGG